GGCCTAGTGGGTCTAGGGTTTAGAATTCCGGGACTGCCAGATGTTTGGGGGTTGCAGGGCTCAGAAGGCATCGAGTCTAGAGTAAGAGATTGGGAGTCGACGATTGCCCGCCCCCACAAGACAAGCCCACAAGCCCATCTGCAGTAAACTCCAGAAAGTTGGAACATGGTTCAAGCTTACATGGCTGGGAGTCCAAGGTTTCGTTAATAACCTTCTGGGTTATGGGGGTGAGGATGTTCAAACTTTATGGGAGTTTCACTGTCAAACCCTCAAAGCTCAAAAACCCTAAGCCCTAAACCCTAAAACCCTAAAACCCTCTAAGCCTCATTGCAGCCATCCTGCCTGCCAACCCTGCTTGCTGACCTTCGACTTCATATCCTCCGAACCACAGGGCTTAGGGTTCTGGCAGGTGCCTGGGTTTCGGGTTTCGGGTTTAGGGTTTAGGGTGACGGGGGAGAATTAAGTAAAATGCTAGGCGTATGCTGCAACCGGGTGAGTATTCCTTCCGGGTACACACCATGGAGCGCGTGCTCTGGCTCTCGTGGCCGTGCTCTCATCATTCGGGCCCACGCGGGGGCACGCGGCATAACAACATCCGGGCTTCCAGTTAGCAGCTACCCAAGCATCCTTTCTGCGTGTGCAAAATCGAACTATGATGACTGACGACTTGTGCTGCCAGATCTGTTCAAAAGGATGGCCCCTAAAATCCTGCGAAAAACATTCCTGAACATGATCCTCTTAATCCCCAAAGAAGGGAAAACATAAAATATCCCAAGAGCCTGCCTCGCATTTAGTATTTCTCAGCGGCCAAACGAGACTGCTCTAAAACCGCGCTGACATGAAGAGGAGGGTTTATTTTCATTTTAACCCCAAAAGGACACCCAATATTTACACTCACCAATATTAAAAAGGAACCTCATATTATACACATTCACCAATAACAGAAATTTAAATCTAAACCTGGCTTCTGACATGCCCCACATGGTGCTCACTGTGCCGGGGTCCACGCAGACCCTTTTCGGGGGACGGGCGTGTGCGCACGTAGGCCTAAACCCTAAACCCTAAACCCTAAACCCTAAACCCTGAACCCTGAACCCTGAACCCTGAACCCTAAACAAAATCCTAAACCCTAAACCCTTAACCCTAAATCCTACCCTGAACCCTAAACCCCAAATCCGGAGGACGGGCGTGCGCGCACGCATGCGGGCGTACGTGAGGGCTGCACGACGCAGCCGGAGCTGGATGAGTAGGCTTTAGGATACTTGGAGACCAAATGAACCCTAAAACATTGGGGGTCTTCTACCCTATATAACTATAATTCCGATCGAGGTATATGAACCAGACACCTTTTTAGAGTTCATTTGGTCGTCAAGGATCTAGATAGCTCACCGAAGTCCCAAGAACTCGGCACCGAACGGCTTGGAAGTACTTTTTGCTTTGTGCTGGCGCAACCCTAAAAACCCTAAACCCTGAACCCTGAACCCTAAAGCACGCAGGCGAACCATCGTGAACCACATAAGACAAACAGGCTTTCAAGTCTTAAGCCTTTTCCCCAAACAATCGTTCCAAAGCCCCAAAACAGGGCCTATAAACCTAAAGCCTAAAGCCAAAACCCGAAACCCTAAACCCTAAACCCTATCGGCACGGGGGTAGCCTGGAGAAGAGTCAGGTCTTTCTGCGTCCAGCGCTTGGAGCTCGCTGGCGAGGCAGCTTCCTGGCTATTCTTCAGGCGAGTTGAGGCTCTCAACTTTCGGGGTGGGTTGTGAGGGTTTCGGGTTTAGGGTTTAGGACCCTAATCCCTAAACCCGCCTTCGGGCTTCAGGTTGTCCACCCAAGCAAACCCCGTTTGCACGACACCCTCCGGAGTCTCAGCCGCAAGGGGCCCCCAAATGGTTTTCTGGCGTCTTTCCGGTTTGGGGTTTGTATAATTGGCTGGTCGACGTCTGAAGCATTCTGAAGCCCTCTCAGAAGAAGCCTTGCAAGGGCTTGAGGGCCTTAAATATGGCTGGAGGTTTAGGGCTTAGGGTTTAGGATCTCGAAGCCACGCCTGTTTCGGGATCATGGCCCATGGACGGAACCCTTTGCAAGTCAGCCTCAGAAAACAGCCCTTGACAGACTCGACCAGCAAAGAAGCCCTGACCCTAAACCCTAAAACCTAAAGGGTTTGTAAGGGTTAAGGGTTTAGGGTTTAGGGTTGAGGGTTTAGGGTTTAGGGTTGAGGGTTGAGGGTTAAGGTTCATGGTTTTACGGCCCTAATGCCCCTGGGGTGCCAGCATCACCTTCGGAAACCGTACACCCTATGCCCTAACCCTAAACCCTAAACCCGAAACCCGAAACCCAAAACCCGAAAACCCTAAACCCTGAACCCTAAACCCTAAACTCTCCAGGCCCGAGTGGCAATTCGCCGGCGCGCGCGGGGAGGCGTTTGCACGGAGCTGGAGCGTGGGGCCGCGCGCTTCGGCCGGGTGCGTGCCTGAAGCTAGGGCCCGAAACCCTAAACCCTAAACCCTAAACCCTAAACCCTAAACCCTAAACCCTAAACCCTAAACCCTAAACCTTAAAACCCTAAACCCTAAACCCTAAGCCCTAAACCCTAAACCCTAAAACCCTAAACCCTAAACCCTAAACCCGGTTTGGAGCCACTTCGGGTTCCGCTTCCCCTTGATAGGTACTACCTGAACCTCATAACTCACAAGGCCCAAGCGCCCAAAAAGGCCTAAACCCTAAACACTAATCCCTAAACCTTAAACCTTGTGCTTCAGTTGAAATATTTTAAAAATCATCACGTCAAGTTGTTAAATCACAACATTCGGCGAAATTTAAATCTTACCATTGAAATATATCACCAAAACCATTCTTCATTCTCAGGCTCTCTTTCACGCAGCCTGTATGCCATGTTAGGACTATGTTTTACTGCTTTACCGTGCTGCAAGTGGCCGAGCATCTTGAAAAAACACCCTAAACCCTAAACCCCACACCCTAGCAAAGCGAAGCCAACAAACAGAAACTCTGCCATGCTTTCCGGAGTTTCCTCGCCGACGTCGTTTTCTGTGGCCTTGGCTCTTGGAGCACCGAAGCGAATGACGACTCCCCCTGAACCCTGAACCCCAAACCCTGAACCCCAAACCCTAAACCCTAAACCCCAAACCCGAAACCCTACTGTAGAAGCCCCAAAACCGACCCAGAGGCGTGTGCTGGGAGCTCCAGCCTTCTCTCATTGTCAACCCTTCTGCCCCCTAACATTAGACACTAGCTGTAGTATAATCGTAGTAATTACATAGTTAATACTAACTACCCGCCTCCGAAACCTCAATTCAACCGGACCAAACCCTAAACCCTAAACCCAAAACCCTAAACCAAAGGAGACCTTCACTTCCAATAACCTTTAGGCTCTTCGTGTTTTAAGCTGCCAAAAACAGCCAGGCCCTCAACCCAAGCGTGCCATGGCAATCCAAGGGACCTCGCCGAAGTCATCGTCTGAGACCTCAAATTTAGGGTTTAGGGTTTAGGGTTTAGGGTTTAGGGTTTAGGGTTTAGGTTGTGGGGGGGCACTTGCCAGCTTGCCTAGACAGGCCAGACTTCTGACAGCACAGAGTCGTATGATGCCCTGAACCGCTGTAGAAATTCTACAACCCAACACTAAACAAACACACACAGAGACAAACAAACAAGCAAAACAAAACAAAACAAAACAAAACAAAACCAAACAAAACAAACAAAACAAACAAAACAAACAAAACAAACAAAACAAACAAAACAAACAAAACAAACAAAACAAACAAAACAAACAAAACAAACAAACAAACAACAAACGAAAATTAAAAAACAAAAACAAATATCTATATATATATAAACAAACAAACAAACAAACAAACAAACAACCAACCAAACAAACAAACAAACAAACAAACTTCCACGGCCGCCAGGGTTCCTCGCCGAAGTCGTCTTCTGTGACCTGGACGGACTTTGACTGCCAGGAAGAAGTGCCGCGCACATTTCGAAACATGGATAAAACCCCAAACCTTCCCCCCGAAGACTTACAGCCCAGTACTTGGGGGTTCATATAGGACTGAGTATCCCAAATGTAACTCTACTTAGAACAAAATTAACCTAATACGCGCCACTAAGGGGCTCATAAGTGGGTTATGAGCTCTACTTAGAACAAAATTGTAACCTAATACGCGCCATTAAGGGGCTCATAAGTGGGTTATGAGTACAGTTCTAACTGGTAAATCAGTGCCATGAACCTCCAAGTATGTAGGACACGTGTGATTCCGGGTGGCCACAGCATTGCAGGGTCCACTGTCCGACATATTCGGAGGAAGTCTATAAACTGTTTTAGTGTGTAGGTTTACCTAAAACCACAAAATATGCAAAAAAATAGCTCTTTTATGGGTTTTGGACTGTTTTTCAACATACCTTGGGGCTCCAGGTAATGCTTTGGCGCTCCCAGAGGAATTCGCAGAATGCAGTGCCGAGTATGGAGTGCCTGCACCGAGTAGATCCCCCCAAAGAACCCACAAACGCCAAACCCTACACCCTAAACCCTAAACCCTAAGCCCTACACCCCAAACCCTAAACCCTAAACCCCAAACCCTAAACCCTACGTAAATCCCCGGGTACCCGTGCCCAGCATCTTCGTGCCGGATCCAGGCTTTATCAGGCCCTAGAAGGGCATCATGCGACAGGATCCAGGTTTCAAGGTGGGTTTAGGGTGTAGGGGGATGTGTAGGGTCTAGGGGTCTTTTTTGCCACCCGCCCAGCTGATGCATCACATCACACTGCAGAGGGAAGACCCTCGTTAAGGGTTTAGGGCTTAGGGGCCCTGAAGGAGTCCAAAAAAACCTTCAGGCCCCGCATGCGGGCCCTGAAGGATTCCAACAAATCCTTCAGGCCCCGCATGTGGGCCTTGAAGGATTCCAAAAAATCCTTCAGGCCTCGCATGTGGGCTTTGAAGGATTCCAAAAAAGCCCTTCAAACCGGAGGCGGGGGGAGGGTAGGTGAAACCCTAAACCCTAAGACCCTAAACCCTAAACCCTAAACCCTAACCCTAGACCCTAGACCCTAAACCCTAAACCCTAAACCCTAAACCCAGGGGTGCTGGGTGGGGCGTGGCCACCATGACCCCTTAAAATTCCCTTGCGCCCCTTGGACCCACATTGGTCGATCCAGAGAGGCGGCCTTTAGGGTTTAGGGTTTAGGGTTTAGGGTTTAGGGTTTAGGGTTTAGGGTTTAGGGTTTAGGGTTTAGGGTTTAGGGTTTAGTCCCGGAAGGCTTTTCCAGGATAAGGATGTAGGCAAGCAGAAAGGCTAGAGTAAATCAAACAGTATAGTGCTTTTGGCTCATCGAAACAGTTGAGCATTTCAGAGCTTTTGGCATCGAAATTGTAAGTTCCGGTTGAAACACATACAATTTCCATTTATCCTGGTCTTGAGGGTTAAGGGTTTAGGGTGGAGAGAATCTTGAGGAAGGCTTGTGTAAGCCTTGATGAATCCCAGTCCACTTTCCTGAGCTTTCGGGAACCCTCAACATTCTCGAGCTCTGTAGTTTTCACCGCCGTTGACCTTGAACAGACAAAACTCGAAAGCAGAGGGTCCCCTAATCCCTAAACCCTAAACCCTGAACCCTGAACCCTAAACCCTAAACCCTGAACCCTAAACCCTAAACCCTAAACCCTAAATCCCCAAGAAGACGTCGCCTTGAATCCGCTCGCCGCTTTGGCCACGGCTTTTTGGAGCTGCGGGCGGAGAGCAGGGCGCTGGCCAGCCGGCTCGGAACTGCGAGGGAGTGTGGGGTTTAGGGTTTAGGGCTAGGGTTTAGGGTTTAGGGCTAGGGTTTAGGGTTTAGAGTGTAGGGTTTAGGGTTTAGGCTTTAGGGTTTGGGTTTAGGGCCCAAGTCGGGGTATTATGGAGGTTTCTTGTGATGTAAGTTCTAGGGTGTACTTTCCACGGGCTTTGAGCAATGGTGAGGGGGGGGGGGGGGGGGGGGGGGAATTGTGAAAGGGTGACAGATAGTAGGACATGTTAAGGATATACTCTAAGAGTTTTCAAGTTTTCGGGGGTCCAATCCAACTCCAAAGGGGCATTAAGAAGGGCGCAGTGTTTACTTGGTTGCTGAGTTCAGAAGCCCCAAAAATGGTGTACACTTTCAGATCTATAGGGGAGTATAGTATCCCAAAAAGGTGTAACGTGTACTCATTCTGCTACGAAGTCTACAGGGCAGTCTACTTGGGTCCCAAGGCCTGTAGCTGGCCGAGGAGAAAAACTCCGAAACCCGGGGCTGCGAAACCTGGACAGTGCAACTCGAAGCCCTATAGGCCCTATAAGCCCTCTAAGCCCTCTAAGCCCTATAAGCCCTACAAGCCCTATAAGCCCTAAGCCCTATAAGCCCTAAATCCTAAACCCTAAGCCCTAAACCGTAACCCCTAAACCCTAAACCCTTGTTCTCTCTGATGTCCTAAGCCAGAGGCTCTGCATCTTAACTGCGCATTTCCTGAGTCCTGCAGGCTTATAAGCTGTAAAAACCAGGTACAAAGAGGTCCTCACGAAGCCGAGCTCGTTCAAGAGGGCGAGTGTCAGGGTGGAGGTTCTCTCCAGGCCCTTGTTGGAGCAGCCTCATCTTGGGAAGTGTCGCGGGGTGCTTAAAATGATAGTCCAGCAACCTTGGGGAAACTAAAGGTTAACCTTTGGTTGAGTATAAGGGGACTATATAGCCCAAAAAAGGTTAAAAGGTTACCTACTCTACTACTAGGGGTGATAGGAGGGAACCGTGAACCGTTTCGGGTTTGGGCTTTCGGGTCACTTGTCTTGGGATTCGGATGTCTTGCACTCCCCCTCCCCAATAATCTTGCGCGCGCTGAGGAGCTGAACAGAGTGATGGCGTAGCGCTCGTCCGTGTCCAAGAATGGACACGTGCAGTGGAGCTTGCGGCCGTGGAAGGTGATGATTCGCCGTCTGGCATCTTTTCGCTGGCCTCGAATCTTCTGGCCCGCCAATCCGAGACCCTCGACGGCCTGCTTCAGCTCCATCACTTCTTGGCCTTCCTCTTCCACAATGAATGTCTCGCCTCCGGCAAAGTCGCCCAGTGTTGTCATGTATTGCAGACCTGTGTTGTCGTCGTGCTGATGCCAATGTGCCTCGTGGTTCTTGGTCACCCGAAGGGAGGTGCCAGACAATGGTGTCTGGAAACCAGCCTCTGCAGCAAGCGAGTTCAAGTAGGCCAAGATCCTGGAGCTGCGCAGGAAGGCGGCATGTACTATAGTTACTATAACAGTGCCATCTACGGATAACCCGCAAGACTTGGAACCTTCCCTTCTTAATGCTGTCGGCTTCACCGCACGATCCAGGCTCGAACAAAACTGAACCAAACCAACTTCTCAGCAAAGTGCTTCCTGAGTGCTACACAAGGCGCAGGCTCGTCAGCCAAGCATGTGTCCACGTCTTGACGGCAAGCATTGGCTCCTGAAGCGTGTGCGCAGTGAGGACATGACCCACTGCTCGGACCGTAAAACCTTGGGATGTTCCCCCTTATACCAACAGTCTTAATAGGGACTAGAATACGGGTACGAGAGTCCTCATTAAGGGGCTTTTGCAAGTTATGTCTATAGGTAATGACTGCATGCTGCTGCCTTACCACACATCTCGCGCAGAGTCATGCGTGTCATGCTCGAAACCGCACGCCAAGTTTATGCGTCGCTGCCCACATAATATAGCTACCCTAAACCCTAAGCCCCAAACACCCTAAGCCCCTAAAGCCCTGGAGTCCTGGTGGCCCTTGCAGGTGAGGCCGAGCTGCATCACCAGGCAGTAGGATGCCTCTGGATCTCTTCAAGGGCTTTTAAAGGGCTTTTGGGTTTTTGTTTGGGGCTTTTATTGTTTAAATATATATATATATGTATGTATATCTATATTTTGAATTTTTGTATATATATATATGTATATGTGCGTCTGTGTGTTGATATATGTATATGTATATATAATTTATTTGCTTATTTTTTATCTATATTTACTTAGATATATATATATATGTATATTTATCTATTTATTGATTTGTTGATGATTCTCTTTTTTTAAGAGGGGGCTTTAGGGTTTGTAGGGCGTGCTGCAAGAGAGCTGAGGTTGGGGATTGTTTTGGATCAGGGTGACAGGGTGGAGAAGCTAAGACTGAGATGGGTTGAACATCTCAACCCGACCGGGTTTAGGGTTTAGGGTTTAGGGTTTAGGGTTTAGGGCTTGACCATAATTTTTCGGACTAACGCTAATCGAGACCCCTGACATAAGAACTTTTCAACAACCCCCTATGCACCCTCGTCCCTCTCACTCTCACGCTAGTTCAAGCCGGAACCCTTCATCCCGGACCATAAAGGCACATGGGAATTTAGATATTACTGGTGCTTTATTTGTTTATAAGGGGGGTCCTACTATTTGGGTGGTCTATCTTCGGCCCCCCCCCCCCCCCCCCCATTTTCGCAACACCCCCTGCTGGAAAAGATGAAGAACTTGAAATCCAAGAGACCTTCTAGCTCGCGCTGGAGCCTAGAGAAACGCCCAAGGTCATCCCCCCGATGATAATGATACACACATGCACACATACCAGTTTAGGGTTTAGGGTTTAAGGTTTAGGGTTTAGGGCTTAGGGTTTAGGGTTTAGGGCATTCAAAACGGAACCCCAAAAGAGACTGTGTTTAGGCTAGACCGAGACCCAAAATCCTCGACCTCCGGCGAGCGGAGGATCTTCACCGCCCCCGTCCTCTTTGGACGTGCGGCTTCCGAAATGGAACCCGCTAGACCCTAAACCCTAGCCCTAAACCCGAAACCCTAAACCCTAAACCCTAAGCCCTAAAGTCTAAACCCCTAAAACCCGAAACCCTAAACCCGAAAGCGGTCTGTGGATGAACCTTGGGCCCACAAGGCAGCTCCCGAGCCCTCTGATATACAAACTCCCTGTACCATTTTGTTGGGGGTTTTAGGGCAAAGGGTATAGGGTATAGGCCCTAACCCTAAACCCTAAACCCTAACCCCTAAACCCTGGGTATGGGGTCCAAGGATGGCCCAGGCTTGAACTTAAGGCTTCTGCGTGTTGGGGGCCCTGATTCTCGCCTTCAAGGCTTGTTTGTTTGCTATCAAAGGGTTTAGGTTTTAGGGTTTAGGGTTTAGGGTTAGCTTGAACCCTACAAGTCTTCAATTGCTTCAATATAGAGGGCTTAAAAAAAAGAATGGGGTTTTGGGGGGTCGTTATAGTATATGTATGAAGGGATCTCAAAAAGAATGCTATTGGCATTTAATCCGACCCCTCTAGCACCTAGCCACGGCGTTTGACACGCTGGGCTTTGAAGCCTGAGCTTGGCCAGGGTTTAGGGTTTAGGGTTTAGGGTTTAGGGTTTAGGGTTTAGGGTTTAGGGTTTAGGGTGTAGGGTGTAGGGTGTAGGGTGTAGGGTTTAGGGTTTAGGGTTTAGGGTTTAGGGTTTAGTAAGCCTCAAAGACAAAGCGCAGGCATGGCACGCGAATGGCAACCTGCAAACTGCCGTCTGGGTTCCAGTTCGCTGCAAGGGGATGGTGCTGGCAACTGGTTCGGCTCCTGTATACTCCTCTGTTCCTAAACCCTAAACCCTATGACCCTGTGAACCCTCTCCCGTCCTCCATGTCGTATTTGGGATCGCCCGGAGGCCTTGAAGAACATCCTTTCAGGGTCTTTTTGTTCTCCCAACTCTCGTGGCGCTGCGGGAACCCAGTGAAGTAACAGCTGCTGACTACCAAGGAAAACTATGCGTGCTATAACAAGGCATCTTTCTTTTGCCGATGCCCCAACATCCTCGCCACGCCCCATGGCAGCGAGCGGCACGGCTTCGTTGTTAGTGAGATTTTGGGACCGAGCGCTGTGTGTGGTTTAAGGTTGTCCGAGCCCACGCAAACGTCCTGGAACCTTACCTCTAGTCCAGACCCGAAACCCCAAAACCCTTAAAGCCCTTAAAGCCCGAAAAACCTCACAAACCCTTAAAACCCTGTAGTTAAAACCCTTCAAAACCCTTTAAAGGCCCTTTAAACCCCGTAAAAAACCCTCAACACCCCTTAAACACCCCCCAAAACCCTCCAAAACCCTTTCAAGCCCTTGCAGGGGCCTCGTAAAGCTCCGAGGAGGTCTTCGACGCCCAGACTTTGCGGAGCTCTGGCAGAGGATCCTCAGCAATCGGCTAGACGGGCTTATAAAGGGGGGGCTTTAAAGGGTTTAGGGTTTAGGGTTTAGGGTTTGGGGTTTGGGGTTTGGGGTTTAGGGGCTTAAGCGGGGGCTTCAGTGGTGTTGAAAGGCCGCAGGGCGCGCCAAAAGTAACGCAACATCCGTGGGAAATGAAACAGGGCTTATGTTGCTGGTATTGGGGGTGTCCTTTTTGGGGATACTAATCATATCAGCCGGGCTTCATATCTTTTTAGAGTATATTCTTCATAGAGTATGTATGTTGCGGGGGCACTGAGAGAAATTGAAGAACCCCAAATATCCCCTAAATTTCCCTTGTGAGGGTCCCTTGAGTCCCTTGACTTCAGGAACCCTTTACCACTGCAAGCCAGGTTCCATGCCAATGGTGCCGGTGCCCGAGAACTCCTTCATCTTCTCTCCTAGAAGGTCCGAGACTCCCTAAACCGACACCCCAGAACGAGCAGCAGGGTTTAGGGTTTAGGGTTTAGGGTTTAGGGTTTAGGGTTTAGGGCTAGGAGTTCGGAGGCTTGAGGTCTTGACATTCTCTTAGGGGGCTAGGCTGTAGTTCTCAAGACCTTTGTCTCTAGCTCTAAAGCGCATTGGGACCCTAAAACCCTAAACCCTAAACCCTAAACCCACCCCCCACCCCCCACCCCGGCCGCCCCCCCCAGAAAAGGCCCTCACCCCTAGTAGGCCCTTTTAAACCTAAGCAACAATTGTATGGCACATCATATGGCCTGTGATAAGTCCAAACAGGGCTTTTAGTATTGCAGGCTCGATGGTATCCCGATTCTAAGGTACTTTTGGTTCCCCAAGGAAGCTCTCTGAGTTTTTTCCAGACTAGCATCCTCTTCAGCAACAGCCAACATCCCTTCAAGGTTAGGTTTTGAGTTCAGGGCTGTGTATGACTCCAATAACACCAAAGGCCCCAACCCTAAACCCTACACCCCAAATCCCATAAACCCTATACACGCTAAACCCTTTGGGAACCGCTGAATGCCCTATCAACCCGAAGAAAGCTGTCTTCCCTCAGAGTCACGTGCCAGGCGGTTCGAAGGCAGGACCGGCGTGGGGGCGTCGTCCTTCTTGGGAAGGTCCGTAAGCAAGTCATACGGGCTGTGTGCGATAACCCTAAGAGCCAGCGTAGGTTCGGGGTTTGGGGTTTAGGGTCGAGGGCCAAACAGCCCTTTAAGAACTACACCGCCTGAACTTGGTCCGGAAAAATGCCCTCATTCGCCGCCACCGGTCGACACATTAGGGCCCAGGATCGAAAATGGGACCCCCTTATCAAGAGAAGTCCCTAAACCCTAAACCCTAAACCCTAAACCCTAAACCCTAAACCCTAAACCCTAAACCCTAAACCCTAAACCCTAAACCCTAAACCCTAAACCCTAAACCCTAAACCCTAAACCCTAAACCCTAAACCCTAAACCCTAAACCTAACCCTAAACCCTAAACCCTAAACCCTAAACCCTAAACCCTAAACCCTAAACCCTAAACCCTAAACCCTAAACCCTAAACCCTAAACCCTAAACCCTAAACCCTAACCCTAAACCCTACACCCTTAACCCTTAACCCTAAACCCTTAACCCTAAACCCTAAACCCCCAAGTGACCGTGTGAGCTTCTCAGTGCCGAGGCATGGAGGCCGAATTTGGAGTACCAGTAGGAGCATATTGGGGGGTCATGGGGCATGACTTCTTGAGAGCTTCAATTACTCAGTTGCTGAGTTCATAAGCCCCCCAAAAAAGTGTACACTTTCAGTTCTATGGGGGGGGGGGATTCGAGTATCCCAAAAAGTGTAAAGTGTACTCACTCAGCAACGAAGATTAATAGCAGCAATAGCATCCGAACGGGAACTCCAAGAACACAGTAGGAATGTCAAGGCAATATAAGCAGCCTGGCAAGTATATTCCGACTATATTTCTACTATATACTTGGGGTTCCCTGTTTGGGGATCCCAATGGGAGTATCAAGGGCTTGAAAAGTTGAGGGACAGTGAGGAGCTCGGGGGTTTCTTGTCTCAAGCCCATGTGGAGGGGCACTCTTGGACACCCTCTCACAAAAATGCAGGCTGAAAAAACCCACAACAAAAATCGGGGGTGAGTTTGAAAGAGAACCCTTTTTTCCAGAGACAAGTATGCCGTTTGTATGGCTCTGAGAAGATCCGCGAGCGTTGCCCTAAACCCTAAACCCTAAACCCTAAACCCAAAAACCCTAAACCTTAACCCAAAACCCTCAGCCATCCACCTCCCAAACTCGTTTGGAACCGACCAGAAACACGTCCAAACGCGCACTCCCCAGATCTTGCAAAACCTCTTTATTCAGGAATATACCCTAATTCATAATAAGGACCCTTAGTATATATTGGGGTATTTCTGTATTTTAGGGCTTTAATTCAGGAATATACCCTCATTCATAATAAGGACCCTTAGTATATATTGGGGTATTTCTGTATTTTAGGCCTTTGGAAGACCTGGGTCCTCTTGAAGGCATGGCGCCGAACAGCTACAAAAACACGGTTCCTCCGGCATGTCGATGACGAGGTCTGGGTCATCTTCCCCGAACGACTCGTCACCTGAGATCCGGTAGGCCCGCTGGTAGGACGCTAACCCTAAATCCTAAACCCTAAACCCTAAACCCTAAACCCTGAAGTTTTGGGGATCATGGGGAATCCCGGGGTGTTCAGGACCCTGTGGAGTTCCTACTGGTCCTGTTCCTAGATCCTTACACTCCCCACTACTTCCTAGGGCTTTAGGGTTTAGGGTTTATGGGCATAGAGGGAGTAGAAGGTTCACAGAGTTTATGGGGTGCTTGGGGCTTATGTGCATGTGGTTTATAGGGTTTTTAGGGCGTGAAAGGTTCGTAGGGTTTTAGTTTGAATTTGGGCTTGGGATCCACTCTCTTCTTGTTCATGGGGTACTCCTTGTTGGGGCTGGGTTAACCCTGGTCCTGACTAGCAACCCACATCTGTTTGTACCCCTTCAACACCCGACAGGACCCAATCATGCGCTGGTTTGTGTCTCTACTGTACAAGCCCGAAGCCTCCTTCATCCCAACCCCCTAAACCCCCTAAACCCTCCTCCCCAACCCCTACACCCTAATCCCTAAACCCCAAACCCTAAACCCTACTCCCCAACCCCTAAACCCTAATCCCTGAACACCAAACCCTAAACCCCACTCACTCTTGACTAAACCCTATCCCCGCATCCCCCTTTTTGGGCCGCCCTGCTGTGCGCCGGCCGCTGTGTGGAGGGAGTTCGCAGCGGTGGGGCCTCCCAGTGTCTCTTCGGTTAGTTGGATTGAGGGCGCTGGGAAGGGGGGCGAGTGTCAAAACCCTAAACCCTAAACCCTAAACCGCCTAAACCCTAAACCCTAAACCGCCTAAACCCTAAACCCTAAACCGCCTAAACCCTAAACCCTAAACCCTAAACCCTAAACCCTAAACCCTAAACCCTAAACCCTAAACCCTAAACCCTAAACCCTAAACCCCAAGCCCGAAACCCTAGGGCGAAGCCCGGTTTAGGTTGAGGGTGTAGGATGCGATGCCTGGTCTTCAAGAGCCTAAGCCGCCAAACCCCGTAAAGCCCCCTACGCTCCCTCCGGGTTTAGGGTTTAGGGTTTAGGGTTTAGGGTTTAGGGTTTAGGGTTTAGGGTTTAGGGTTACCCCCTGGTTCTTAGTAGGGAATGAGGGAATGAGGGCCCTATATAATCCCTTATAATCCCTTAAAGGGTATCAGTAGGGCCCTCATTCCCTACTAAGCACCAGGGAGAGTTCCTATAAGGCCCAATCGACCAAGCGAGGGTCTCAAACCCTGAGCCTTAAACCCTGACCCGACAACCCGAAAGAATCTGTAAACCCAAAAAACCCACAAACCCTAAAAACCCTAAAAACCAAAAAACGCCAAGAACACCTCTGTAAACCCTAACTCTAAACCGCAGGTTCTTCAGTGCCATTTTTTGATGAACCAGGACTCTGTCTGGTGTACGTTTTTGTCGGCAGGTTGAAGGGAGTTGAGGGGAATGACCCTGAACCCTATAAACCCTGAAAGGCCCCAAGCCTTAAGTAAAGCCCCAAGCATACGTACACACACACACATATATATATATATATAAATATAAATACATGTATAGACGGAGTGAGAAAGAAAGAGAAAGACAGAGAGAGATGAGTATATATATATATATTTGTTTATATTTATATGCATCTTCATATTTATATTTGTACCAGTAAGGCATGCCTGGTTACGAGTCCTAAAGCTCAGAGGCCTATGGACGCACCAAAGCCCTGAAACCGTACGACAGGAACCCGAGACAAGCGGAAGCGGAAGAAGCCCTGAAGCCGATGTGGAGACTGGGTTTTTGGGGTTTTGGGTTTAGGGGTTTAGGGTTTAGGGTTCGGGTTGAGGGCTCGTGTACATGTTGGCGCTGTCCGGGTTTTGCTGCCAAGGAGGAGGAGTGCGAGGGTCACAGCAAAGCCGCACCAAAAACCAGAATGCAGAAACCTCGCAAGCCCCCGACGGTAGCAGAAAAAGAGGTAAAGCCCCGAAGATTCCCCAAATCTGAGCTGGAAGGTTTATGAGGCTTATAAGGTTTGGGGGGTTAAGGGCTATAAGGTTTATAAGGTGTACAAGGTTGAGGGGGTTTAGGGCTTACAAGGTTTATCAGGTTCATAAAAAGTTATGTATAAGGTTTAGGGGGGGGGGTTAGGGTTTACAAGGTTTGTAAGGTCTATGGCCTTTGGTTTAGGGGCCTGAAGGTTTATAAGGTTTACAAGGTCAATAGGAGTTTCGGGTTTTATAACCCTAAACCCTAAACCCTGAACCCTAAACCCTAATTAAACCCTAAACCCTAAACCCTTGCGACCTCCGACTCCGCCGGCGCGTCGGGCCCACCGAAAGCTGAGGCGAAAGTTCGGGTTTAGGGTTTCGGGTTTAGGGTTTTTAGGGTTTAGGGTTTTTAGGGTTTATAGGGTTTATAGGGTTTAGGGTTTAGGGTTTGAGAAGGGTCAGTGGGGGAGCAAACAAATGAGCTGAAGCCAAAGGCTCGCGCCCCACCTCCCCTCAAACATCAAACTCGAAACCCGAAAGCCTGATGGCTCAAGTCTTACAACCAACCCATCCTGAGCAAAGCCCGGCACCAAAACCTGAACAAGACAACACCCCCCCCCCCCCTCCCACCCCCCCCCACCCCAAGGGCATCTTCTGCCCCATCCACCCGGACTTCGATCCTGAGGGGCACCCAAGCACACAACACCGGAAGAAGTAGGGTTTAGGGTTTGTAGGGTTTAGAGGGTTTATAGGCTTTATAGGGTTTTTAGGCTTTATAGAGTTAATAGGGGTTATAGGGTTTATAGGGTTTATAGGGGTTTTTAGGGTTTGTAGGGTTGTTAGGGCTTTTTAGGGTTTAGGGTTTAGGGAACATCTTGGCACCCTCAACGAACCATTCGTTGGCTCATGTAGGCAAAGTTGCGAGATTTGGCACCGGCGAAAGGCGAAGGAATACGTGAAGGATGTGCCGTCCGCAGCCACGGCGCCAGGCAGAGGGGTGCCCAGAAGACCGTCGAGGTTCTCAAGAACTTTCAGCGGCAGCTCTGCCAGAAGGCTATTCCTCTCCTCTTCCAGTGCTTGTTGCAGCCGCGTCCTCAAAGAGACAGAGGTGGGTTTAGGGTTTAGGGCTCAAGGTTTAGGAGTTTAGGGTTTAGGAGTCTAGGATTTAGGGTTTGGGGTTTAGGAGTTGAGGGTTTCGGATTTTGGACTCAGGCGTCTGCTGCCCGATCTGGTTACTGCAGGCACCAGAACTCGCCACCCGCGCGCTGTGTTTCTCTCACCCAGATCTTCCAAAACCCCTAAATTGAAAACCCTAAACCCTAAACCTTAAACCCTAGTTAAATAAGGATCCGTAGTATAAAATAGGGTGTAAAACCTTAACTAACCCCCAACAAATGGATTCTTAGGGCCTGTGAATCATAAACCCTTTTCGGGTTCCTTTGGTCCACAAGGAACATGTAGGGCTTAGGGGTTTAGGGGTTTAAGGGGTTCAGGGTTTAGGGGTTTAGGGGTTTAGGGGTTTGGGGGTTTAGGGGTTTAGGGGTTTAGGGGTTAGGGGTTTAGGGGTTAGGGGTTTGGGGGTTTAGGGGTTTAGGGGTTTAGGGTTAGGGGTTTAGGGTGGTTTTTAGGGTTTAGGGGTTAGGGGTTTAGGGGTTTAGGGTTTAGGGGTTTTGGGGGTTAGGGGTTAGGGTTTAGGGGTTTTGGGGGTTAGGGGTTTAGGGGTTTAGGGGTTTAGGGGTTAGGGGTTTAGGGGTTTAGGGGTTTACGGGTTTAGGGGTTTGGGGGTTTAGGGGTTTAGGGGTTTAGGGGTTTAGGGGTTTAGGGGTTTTTTTTTTGCCACCCGCCTAGCTGACACTGTGGCCACGTTGCAGGGACTAGTTCCGGGAAAAGGTGCGCACTCAAGAAGAAATTGCCTTTAAAGCCAGCATACACATATGCGGGAAGCGATGGGGATCCGGTACAAACCGAGGTGAGGAACCCCCAACTAAATAAGACCATCAAGGGGATGCAGCTAGACACAACACAAACCCCAGCCCAGTGGACTCCCATCTCTTCCCAGGAGAAAACTCCCAGGTCTCAAAGGACCTCAGGGGGGTGCCTAGCACCTTGGCACATTCACTCTGAAAGCGAAACACTCCAACATTCTTACTCAACTACACTCCCAACCATACCCCTCTCAAAGGAAGTGTTTCGCCACTCCTACAGGAGACATCACAAAGGATCGTCGCTTGTACTCCCTCTGCCTGGCCACATCGGCTCTTGTACAGTGGCAGCCCTGGAGCCCATCAGCGACTGAAAATTGACATAACTACACCAGAAACCCAAAAGACAGCAGGGTCCCAAGTTTTGTATGGGACAGAAGGGGCTCTCGAAGCAACACGTGCCAGGCAAGACCAGCACCAACCCATAGTACCACATGGATCCCAACGATACTGAACACCACCACCGAAACAACCAAACAACCACATGGATCCCGAACAGATGCAAACAAGTGGGTCCGTGTTGCCGTGAGGGGGCCTTCCTAAAGGATGCACGCTCATTTTCACAGTGAGGCAGCTGGGGAGCATGGACTGCAGAGCCACTCCCACGTCTATGTACATCAGTTTTGGCCGAAATCACAGACAGGGCTTTCTGATAGCAATCATGACAAAACGAAGGTCAGCTACAGTGCCAAAGAAGGGTGTTTCAGAAAGCCCAATTCAAGGCTATACAGACAAGTCCTGCAAGATACTCCCGCCCGTACCTCAGCAACCCCAAACCACATCGATCCAAACAATGAGACCAGCCGGAACCCAAGCAGACCACAAACCACATAGATCCTAACAATGCGAACAGAGCATCACTGCGTTCCGCATCTCGCCGTGCACCCCTACTCTCGATCTGTTCTTGAAACGTGGTGGCGTCGATCCTGGTGAAGAGCAAGAGCCACTAACAACATAGAGTATTTAGAACATAGGGACAAAGGTATTTAGCACAGGCCCCGC